GGTAACCGTATATTCCGACGCGGTTGAATATGGAGCGTGAGAAATGCAAGGGGAAATGCCAGGAAATGAAAATCTGTAAAACGTTAAACACACAAACTAAAATCTAAAAAATAATACACAAAGAACTTGAGGTATATAAAGCAAGTAAACGGTTTTTCTTGGAGTAAAATGTAAACTTAAATGTGATAAAATAATAACACTGATAAAATTAGAGTTTGGAGGTGATATTTTTATGATAAGACAGATACATTTATGATGCTTTGAAGTACAAAAATCCTACTGGTTTTTAGTTCTATATCATAGGGGACAAAAAAGAAGATAACACTTTCCATGATACAGTTGATGAAATTTACGAGTAATACACACACGTTTTTTTCTTTAAGATTCGTGAGGTGTTGGTTAAAAGTTGGACATTTCGTACAATAAATATATTGGAAATTTTGCGATGCAAAACTCAATTACAACTGAGGAACGAAACACCCGACCACCATTCCTCCACTTCTCACGCTACAAAATCCGTGTACACCAAAGTGCCGTTATTTCTACCACATCGTACGAGCCCCTTCATCGTCCTATACAACTCAAATAGTTTCTGATCACGATCGAGCAACACTATCAATCGGACAAAACTGTCGGATAGTAAATCTTTCGCGGCACGAATTCGAGCACCGTGTCTACGATGGGTCACGACACACGTATACACTGCATCTTACGGCGGTGCTCGTTAAGTCGAGCCTTTATTTTCACTCTCCGTTGATCACGCAAAATGGAAAGTCGCGGTCTAACCTTGTTCACCGTCATCGATTTTCGACTACCACGGGGCCAGGAGACGTTGCATGCGCATCCTTGACTCCTGTAACCTTTCCATTTCTGGGGTCAAGGACGCCAGGTGCGAGATTAATCGTCCAGGAAGTTCGCGGTCTTTCGCTATGTACGAAGGCCTCGCGCTATCGCAGCAGTTGTAGATCGCTGGTTCAGATCTTTGAGAAAGGTCTACCCACGTCACAAAGTTAATTGTATACGGACTTTGCTTCGAGAAAGAGCAATGGCGTAAGTATACAGCGTGAGTTTAAGTGTGTGATACATGGAGACTATGAAAGGTATTGGCACATACTATTATTGTTCAAGGCAGTGTTTTTCATTTTTTAATCAGGTTCTACGTTTCATTTCCATAGTGTCGTTGTAGTCATATATGAAAAAACGATTATTAAGTTATTAAATGACACTTTAATGTATTTGGTTCTAATTGATTGGTACGTAAATTATATAATAAATATTTATTAGGTTGTCCGGAAAGTGTCTTTCTTTCGCGAACGTGTTTTTTTACAACAGTGCACCTTCATACAAATGTGAAACCAAGTCTGTGAAATGTCGTGGTGTTTATCTCAACAGAACAAAATGGATCGTACATAATTCGATAAAATAATATAAAACAAAAAACGTTGCGCGTCTATTATTTCCCCATAAAGCGAAAGAAACTTTTCGGGCAACCTAATACAATAGCGTGACAATACTATTCGTAGCCACTGTAAGCGACGTTAGGGATTCGATGACTTGAAATAAATCGGAAATAAGGAATAATAAAATTATATTGTTTCGGAGAAGATCGAGTTGAATTTGAGAAAACTTGTCCAGTGCGCGCATACCGAGTACGTTTTTCACTGAACTTGTTCGAATTGTATTAAACTTTTTACACTGCTAACTTTATAGTAAGGTTGTAAGTTGATGCTGTTCTTTAATTTATCGTGCATTTTTAAAATCAAGACGCGGAAATTATAGGAAAAAGAAGTTGGGATGATCTGTATCCTTTAAAGTTTGGAAATAAAACGAAATCCGAGGCCAGATCTCAGATGCTAATTGTGCTACTTGGCTGTGGTTCCAAGAGTCACTCTAGAAACAAACAGAGCAACAATGGTGTAAGCGACTATTGAATTCTACAGGTGCAAAATGTAATACATTGGTGGCGACAGGGCTTTCTATTGCTCGTTATAAAATTGCTGCGCATAGTAATAGTCTTATTTGCGCTACTTCCGATATCATTTATCACAAGATAATTATTCGGCTGAGTGAACAATTATATCTAACATTCTTAATCGCTCAATAGTCAGAATTTGTTTCATCGAGATACCATTCCATGCATGTAATGTATCAAAGTGTGCGATTCAAACAGTAGCGTAGGTAACGATTGAATTGCAGAAACTGGGCGCGTTACGCTTCGCTAATAATTAGCATCGGGATCAAGTTCATATAGTGACCAGTGGAAATATTTAAACGCTTATCGCAGAGAACTTTTATGTAGTATATACTGTGTGTGTCGTAAAAAACACTTTGAAGTTTCATCGGTACTATAATGAGACATGACTGTTATGATAACGTTGGGAAAATCTGATCAGTTTCTGATTCTGTTTGGATGTACATTTAAGGTACTCATAGAGAGTTCGTATTTGTCGCGTTCACATTCAATTCTACTTGAAAATTTTGCTGCATTTTCTTAAAACACTTACAAAACACTCAAATCTGATCGGTCAATATTCGAGCCCACTTACGATGTGCTTGTGTACATCGCTAATAATAATGACATTTCTAGTTCTGTAATTGCGCCTTGACGCAACGTTAGGCGTCTTTGAATCGAGGAATCACCGCGAAATTCCTCGTACGCTTGTGTTTGCTGAAAAATAGTTCCACATAAGGAAGTCATTCTTTTCTTTCGGGAGGAAAACAAGCTCTGAAGAGAAAAATTCAAAGAGAATCGACGACCAAGAGTTCGAATTCCCTATAAATTGGGCAAAGTTCGGGGGTTGAAGTTCGATTTACGTGACCATGGCGCATCGAATCGAACATCACGTTACTGTAGAATTCGTATTTTTGTCCATCGACTATCTTTATTATCATCTGTAATGCGATTGTCAGGAATTTCGCGGATCGTGGTGAAATCTTTATCGCATCGACGGCTTGCAGCCCAGTGGCGGAATATTATTAGCATAACAATGCGACCATGCCGCAAATCAGAACCTTATCCTCGATCATATCGCCACGTCGAAGGTCGTGGCTCCTAGAGGCTCCACTTTTTCTTCCTTCCATATTTTCACTTACCAATCGATCCAAGGGATAAGAAAATCGATCTCGTTTTAAAAGAAAAATTGCATCTGTCATGTGAGCAAACATTTCACTAGAATTTTTAAACGTTTTATGCATATCGTGAAATACTTAGAGAAAATAATAAGAGATTGTATTATGTCTAGGATACTGCTCTTCTATTAAACCCTTACTCGTTTTTATTTAGCAATAGCTTAGATATTAAATATTACAAATATTTAAGGGTTGGAAGAAGTTGATTAGCAGAAAAAAAAGAGCAGACTGTTCGACGTCATTCAGTTTGAAACAGCAAACAGGAACGTGATGGACTTAAATATTTCGTGGTTTCACGAGACACATTTGAGAGATCCCGTGGATTGTGTTTATTTCATCGTTGAGGCTGCCAGCAGGATGGGCTACACGGGTTTGCGGCAGGGTTAGAGGGGGATGAAAGAGTGCCAGGATCGTCACGGGCTTGAATTTTGTGGTGAAACGCTGTAGAACAGCAAGAATTTTCGATGACGTGGAACTCGGTGCCAACGCTATAGCTGAAAGAGGAGGGAAACAGAGAAGGATGGAAAGAATAGAGAGGAAAACAAGCAAAAAGGGTGCTACAGGGTTGTGAATGCAAGACATGGGAAAAGAAAATCTCGGTGAAAACCGGGCGAAGATGCAGCTGAGAAGGGAGAAGCTGAGAAAATTGCGATAAAGGATGACGAGGACGAAATGGACGAGTTTGGTAAGAGGATTAATGGAGGTAGGAAAACGAATGGAAAATTCTACACGCATGGGAACGAAAACAGGAATCTAAAAAAAAACGTAAAATGATTAAAATCGGGATAGAATAAAGGTGACAAGTAAATAAAGGATGGAGGTAAAACGTAAAGTCACGAAAGATGAACGCATTCAACGAGTGAAATAAGTGGAATCGACGTAAGGAACTGGACGATACTATAGTTTAGTAGCAAATACTTCACAGCGACTAATACGTTCGTGGTAAAACGAGAAACAAGAAGGAAAGTGAACGAAATGAAAGATTGGGGGTAGAAAATAGGAAGAACAGGTAAAGGGCACTGAATGGAGGAAATAGATAAAAACGACGTGTAATAAATGCTACACGTCACAATTCGAAGCGTCCCTAAAACTAATAGCCCACGTTTATGTATATGAAATAATATATATAATATAGGTATGTATTCTCAGATAAAAATAGCGCAAAGCTGAAGATAAAGAAACATGTAAAACATTGTGGTAAGAAAAATCACCAAGAGGATGCTTCGAATGAATCCACAGAAAACGAGAAAGTAGAAATTAGGATACAAAACCAGAAACTCTCCGAAAGGAATAGGGAATGGGTAGCGTTCGAAACGAAGATGCGGCGAGGAACAGGATAAAAAGGTTAGCGGAAAAAACCAAGAAAATGCAAACAAACCTCTCGAAGCCCGGTTGATGTATGTTAGAAAAGAAAAGGACCGGGCATTGAAGAAAGAAGCAGAGGATTCAAGAAAAGGTTACGGGAGGGGCGCGCGTTCGAAAACACGGACACCTATCCCGATCAAGAAAGAAGCATCGAGAAAGCGAGAGGGATGCAACGGTTAGTAAAACAAAGATAGAAACTGCGTCTAGGGAGGAAGGAGGATAGCGGAAGAGGGGTGAGGGTGAGGAGCGCGTGTCAGGGGTGGCGGAGATCCGAAAAGAGAGAGCGGGAGGTGGCGGAGAGGTGTGTGCAACAGAAGAGAGGTAGACGCGTAGGGGGCGGTTAGAGAGAGAAATTGAACTTGGAAGAGGGAGAAGGAGAGGCAAAGAGAGAGAAAGAGAGAGAGAGAGAGGTAGAGGCGGGGAACGAGAGTCGAGGAAAGAGAGAGAGAGAGAGTTAGTCGAGCAACGAGAGGGGAGGGAGTAGCAGGAGAGCGAGGCTGCGGCGTAGCCTCAGTGCCGGCGCAGTGGCCGGGCCATCGTGTCCTGTGCCTAGTTTTCTGTGCTCTCTTTTCTCTGATCCTGTTCGACAGCCGACCACGATTCCCTAGAGAGATCGTCCTTTTTACCAACCCTGGACCTGGTGTGTGTCACGCTCCCTGTCTTCACAGTAGCCAACGTCATCTTGATCAACGACTTTTTTTCTTTCTTGCTCGTTGGATGATCCTTCGGCTCTGTTGCGTTTCTCGCCTCCTCTCTTATCGACGCGTATCGTACCAGTCCAAGTGTGACGCGTACACCGAGAAGACGTAACCGGAATGAGAATCGTGTCGTCGTCGTTGTCGTGACGCGTATTCTTGACACTCTCGAGTTCTAAGGTCCTGCCGTTGAAGGATCTTTGTTCTACTACGGTGTATACGGAAGCATACTTTGGTATTTTCTTGTGTTCGACGTATTTTGACTTCCACTCTGTGCGAACAACGTCCGCGGTTGCCAAACGAATCAGCACAAACAGAGGAAGAAGGACACCCTGCCGGGCAGCAGTCGGGAGGATCACAGGGCGAAGAGGTGGGAGCCATGCCGCCCGGGCGAGCTTCCCTCGAGGTAGCCAGGATCGTCCGGCATCCCTGTCCTTCCACAGTACTGCGTTCTGATCGCCTCTTTTGAGGTAAGGGATCCTTTTCATTGCTCGCGTTCCGTCGATGGATTTTTGGGTCTCTCGCGATGGTGTTACGCGACGCGCGGCTTGACGCAGGGACGTTCGCTTCTGAAGATGCTGAACGATGCATGGGATTAGATACCTGAGAGTCTTCGTCTATGACTAGGATCCTAGGTAGAACACCTTTCTGTGTTTCGTGATGAAGTGTGCAAAATTTTGGGACTCCATAAGTGTATATTTGAGATTTAGTTCTTTATCTTCGATCGAGGATAAACATAGAAATGTTTGTCTCAAAAATGCGAAACATCTTCTTTCGTACGAAGATGTTTTCAGCTTTGTTTATCGCAACACTAAATGTTTACGAGAATCTGTTAAAACCATCTCTTGCTCTACGACTATGTTAAACTTCAATAATGTCACATATCAACATTCGTTGGAAAAGCGATAGAAATCGAAGAGCTGTTTTCAATTGAACGTACGTTATGTCGTGAGATCGTCATCCATTCCGCGAGAGTGGTCAAAGCTTGCGCCACTGTTGACATTCGCGACGCGCGATGAGGCTTCCGGCGAACGTTGGCCAGCCTGGTCGATTCACAATAGCGAACGGCAGGGCACATGTTCCAGCAAGGAGAAAGAAACGAACGGCGAGCTTCAATGAAGTCGCGCTGAATGCGTCACACGAACAAACATCGTCTGTCTCTGTGTTGTGTTTCTGTCGTTACATTTCGAATCTGCTCACCCATAAAAAGTCCCCTTGGAAAACTTTTTAGATAAAGGTCCGTAAAAAGAGGGGAAATCAATATTGATATTTATAGCATTGATTGTCAAATAGCAAAATTGGTAGAAAGTTCGCTATACATATAACCTGGAAGATGCTTCGAAGTTCTTCATCGATAATATAGGTATATACCTACATATAAAAAATACTTCTAGTGTCAAATTCAAAATTCGTAAAATTTTTAAAGTTAACATCAAACCCAAGTATAAACGTGAAATGTTATTTTCAAAACTCGTAACTATAAAACTCGATACAAGACGAATGTATGAAACTGTGAAGTTTTCATCCAGAATTTTATCGATTTTGCCATATTAATTTCCCTGGACGTAGCGCGTCGAACTTGTAATATCGTTCCTGACGGTTCAGCCAGCCATGGGTCATTTAAAATTCATTTTTTCGCGCCAGAAAGAATTCTCACGTGTCAACGAATGCACGATCTAAATCGCACGGTTCTCTGAAATTTTACGGTTGCCTCGGTCGTTATCTTGCGATGGAAGCACAAGACGAATCCGCACGTTGCATTTACGAGCACTCGAGGTTGCCAAAATTTGCGTATACCAGGGTGGAACGATGGTCTACTACAAGATGCAAGAGTAGCGCAGCATCGCTATTGGAAATTCAAGCGTGACTTATTGTCGTACGCGTTCGCAGACTCGCTCGCCAAGAATGTCGAACATCCCTATACGACGACATCCACGAAAGAATTCTGCTGGCTTGCGGTTCTCTACATCGAACAGGCTTTCGGCATGTTTCAGAATTTATTAGACCGTAGCTTTTTAATGTATCCGACGAAATTTTGGGTCAACTGTTCTTATTCCTGTCTTTATCGTGTTTCTCAAAAACTGTTCTCTTCGATAGATCTTCTTCGCTCTTTCGTAGAGTTTCGCTGAGACTTTGGTATTTAAAATATTCTACAAAGATGCAATTTCAAGGAGAAGGAAAGAGAAGGAAATTTAACTCTTTCACTACTCAGACCGTAAGTGAACCAGCAGTGAACGAGTTAAGTAATATTATTTGCAGAATGTTATAAGTAACTGTTGTAATGAAGAATAAATTCAAAATTCTCTTGTATAATAGCAGAAAGATTGGTAACAAAATGAATGATTTTCTAGAGATAAATATTGTAGATCGCAGTATAATTATTCTCACAAAATTGTAAAATTTAAAAATGAGGTTTATGATATATAGCTTGTGACTTGTCAATATAGACAGATTTCACTTTTATAATTTCACAGTTTTTTTTACCACGTAAGACAATCGGATGATTTGTGATTTATAAAATTTGCTCACGGTCAATTTCATTTATTTTATTATTGCGAAATTTATTCCAATTGTCGGTATTGACAATTAGTAAAATTTCGTTAGTAATTGAATTAGTATTCAATCGTGCAAGAGGGCTCAGAGAGACCAATTATCCGGTACTGTTACTATTTGAATTATCAATAATAAACAATACAGAACATAATATTTTACAACGAGCTCTATAAATCTTTCTCATAATTGTATAAATCTGCGGTTTGATACTTTACGATATCAATAAAGTTATCGACCGCGAATCTGCTAATATTATCCATACAGGTCCACATGATCTATAATCTCCTATTTCGAATTCTAAATGGATAGCTTGAAACGCTAGACTGCATCATGAAAATCAGATCGTCGATGGTGTAAATATAAAATAAATTCATAAATGTCATCGACGTCCCACATTTTATCTCCAGCGTGACCACGAATCCATCGCACTTTAAACACGCGAAACCAGCTACTTCCGCCCCTTCGACATTTTATTCTTCAACTACGGTCGTTACAGAGCGGAACCTTTTCCTTTCGACTCGACAAAGCAACAGATTTCAGCCAGGTTCCGCGACGCTGAATCGTGGCCCAAAGAGACGCGATGACGCTGCTTCCGGTTTCGCTTTTGTCAGCGCAAAAACGCATTTAAAGGGAACCCAGTGCCGCAGATAACGTTGCCATTCCGACGAAGAAACGACGTCCCTCGGGACAACGTTGCAACTTGCATTCGCTTAACAACAGTACAGTGCGAACGCAAAAACGAATAAAAACGGCTCACTTTATACACGCTGCGTTCTGTGTGTTTTCCATTTTTTCGAAACAGAAAAGTTGCGGCGTTTCCGTTCCGCTACAGAGAAGGTCCAACCTTCCCTCCTCTTTCTGTTTCGATTGTGAGTTCCAAGCTTTCAGATTATACAGTTCGCGGCCATTTACCTGGCGACGATCGATCCAAGGGAAAAGTTCATGTTTCGGAAAGTCGAGCAGGTTTTGGCATCGCGATTGTTCTGAGTTCGATTTATCCACCATTGACACAGAATTGTGGTTTAGGTTAAAAAATTGTTCGGAAGCGATTTGTACGTGCGCAACGCTCGAGCTTTGCTGCTGCAATATTGAAACGCAATGAGATAATTTCGAGTGGAAAATGAGTTGAGTGGAAAAGTGGTATAAATGGATTCTTCGCTACGAAAAATATAGAAAATTTGTATTTATCTAGAGGACTTCCTAAATGGATTTCCAAGCCTTCATGGCTATGTGTAATATTATATTTTAATATTTGGAAGCGAGAAATAGAGTTTAACTTTACCCACAATTTTCTTCATTTAAGGACCTTATCGATTTTTCTTTGCACTTCTGCTCCATATTTGAAGATGATCTTCTTAGATTAATTTTAAGAATTTTGGTGATGATAATGTTCCATACTAAATTGATAGAGAGTTTGATTTTAATTATATTTTATATTTATACGATATTAAATATTCTTGAGGCGGAGGACTTGTTTAATTAACTTTAATTAAGCACAGTTGAAAGAAAAAGAGCTCCTGAAACGAAACATTCATAATAAAAATGATCCCAGTTTTCACTTGCAGAATGTATCGCTCTTTAACAAGTTGAAAAAGTTCCCAGGTCTTCAAAAACTGATTCAAAGAATTTCTATAAAAACAGTCAATGAAAACAAAGTGAAGGTACCATTAGTCTCTAAACATAATACACTGCAATTTTGTTCTTGATCAGCGTAAATCATTTCAATTCATTGGCCAACGCAAAATTAATTCCCAACCAATCTGCAAACATTTCGAAAGTGTGCTTCGAGCTTTGCCCAACTCGATTCGAGAGAATCCAGCGTCAAAACAGCTAGTAACGCGGTTAATATCGTTGCAACGTCTCAATTTGCGTTGCTCGAAGCTTCGTGACTGACTGGAAATTTCAGTATCCGCATTATTCGATCGTTATTAGCTGCGTTATCAGTCATTTACACCGGTCGTAACACGTAGTTCGCCAGTTTGCACGCTCGTTCATGCAACGTTCGTACAAATTACAAATTAACCTACAACTTTAAAGCACAAAAGAAGATGAATCCTCTATACATCTTTGATCGAACGACGAAGAGGGTGCTGATAGTTGTTCGCTTCTTTTTGTTTCGATAAATAGCAATTGAAAAACTTCATAGTATGTTCGGCTTGCTAGATTATATTCATCTAGAAACTAATACTTTAACGTATCTTCTATCTTGAGTTTTGGAAACAATAAATTCTGGCTTTCCGTAGTATCTTTCCAAAAATCCATTAAAGTTAAGAAAATTCTTAAGACTTTGAACTACAATGATCCAAAGTCCTCGGTAAATGCCGAGATAATCACATTAACTTTTTTCGCTCTACAAGCACCAAATTGTCCTCTATCGACTGGAAGACAGATCAGTTCCGTTGGAGAATTCTGCCGTATCCTTCACAAGAGGCTAATCAAATTAGTCTCGAGCCTGCAGCGATAACGCGATTATCGGACGTCTTCACGTTGGTTCAATCTGACGTGCGATCATTTTACGATCCTGTGCTCTTCTGTCGTAGAATTTAGAGCAGGTATGAATTATCAAAAAATCAGAGAATTTCGCCGTTTTAAAGTTTCCTCTTAGAAATACTGTTTCTTATAAATTTACTTTGGCAAAATATTCTGGAGCAACTATTTTCAAATGGTTTTATATCTTCGAGTCTTTCAGGTTATTTCCTTTTTCAACATTTTTTTCTTAAGATATATTTTTTTAGTCACTATGTGATGAAGTAGCTAGGAAATGAACAAAAGAGAAATTCTGACATTTTTTTCACGTGATCCTTAATTACAGCATTTACCATGTTCTCCTAATAAAATATAATTAACCGCTTAGCTCGTTTCATCGTTGCTAAAGAAAGTAATTGAAACTGAATCTCGAGCGATCACGAGAACGTGA